TCACTTTACAATACCTGTCAAAAGTGAGCTTTTTGTGGAATGTTCCTCAAATAAAATGTTTTTATTTTTACTTGTCAAAAATGACCATTTTAAATAAGGTGATACAGATGGCAATTTTCCAGAAAAATATATAGAAAAAGGTAGATTCAGTTTATTACCTAGTCCCTTCTTTTGCAGGTTCTTCTATTGATCTATAATTTTTTTTGAACAATTACCATGTTCAAAAGCTATAAAAAATAGTACATTAAAATAAATAGAATATTTCATCCAATTGAAAAGCCATAATGTTAATGGTAATGAATTTTGTGCTACCTGCTGAAATGTTATGTCACTTTGTTCCCCATCAGATTCATTCATTTCATTTCTAAATGAGAGAAGTCCCTGTATGTCCAGGCTTGGCGAACTCCCTGTTCGATGGACTTCCTAACTGAACTCTCCACAAGCTGCAGATTCTTCAGAACTCTGAAGCTTGTGTTCTCTCCTGCAGCAAGCTTCATGAGCTGATCACCCCCATCCTTGCCAGGCTTCACTGGCTCCTCATCCCCCAGAGAATCAAGTTCAAGATCCTTGTCCTCACCTTTAAAGTCATCCACAGTCTTGCTCCTTCCAACCTCTGCGTTCTATTAAAACTTCACCAACCTGTCTGTTCCCTTCGCTCTGAAAGCACTGACCTGCTGCACCTTCCTGCCCTGCCTGCTTCACTATCGGCGGTCAGGCCTTCAACCTTTCTGCCCCCATCTTCTGGAACTCCATCCAGGTGCCCCTCTGCCACACCCCCTCCATTGACTCCTTCAAGGCCCATCTCAAGACCTTTCTTTTCGACTGTGCTTTCGGCATCTTCCCTCCACCGCCCCTCTTGTCCTCCACCCCCTGTCTGATACCAACCCGCAGGTGGGTGGAAACCCCTCATTGTCTAGTGACTTGAGACGTTCCCCTGACGTGAAAGGCACTATATAAGTGCAACTTTTTGTTGTTGTGAAGCAGCCTAAGAAGTCTTCTGTTGGGCAGTGCATCCAATTAAAATTGAATTTGCAATGCGAACATACTGCTATGGTTCTTGTTCAAACACCAAGTTAATTAAATATGGTTTCAACAAATGACTGATTGACGACCGTAAAGGAACAAATGAAGTTTTGAGACCTTGGGAGAATGATTTGGAAGCTAGCTGTTTATGCATAGCGCATCACTAGTTGGGAAGAGGCCATGCAATGTTTAGGGCTTCAATCCATATTTTAGTCACTTAATTACTACAATAAATCTTAGACTGAGAACTGAATGAACAATGATCAAAATGCACACAAACTAGTAGGAATGTATAACTTGCTACTTTGCCTCTATTTGTAAGAGAATAAATCAATAACCATTCAAAGCTTTTTTATAGAAAAAATATCACTTCACTGCTTTGGGCAATCTCCCCAATTACAAATTGTAAACTTCAAAGTTCACTGTGTCATACTGAATACAGAGCTACTCTAAAACGAATGCCTTATAAATATGCTTTGCATGAAAAAAATAAAGTAGGCAATAAATACTATGGATTTTAAAGTTCACAAGTAAAATACTTTAAATATTTCAAAATTAAAAACAGAATACACATTGCAATAAATTATTTGTACTGCTGCCAACTTACTCATGCATGTGCACGATTAGCTGTACAGCTTGTGTCGCTTGATGGCTTGCTTTTTTTTATCCTAAACATGTTCTGACGTGTGCTTTATATAAAAACATCCAAATCTCAAAAAGTTCAACACAGTTTTGTTGAAAATTTAGCCTAATGTCACAAACGATTTCCCTAACCCTTTAGGCTTTTCAAAATGTTAGGTAACAGTTCACAACCTGCTTGAAAACATTTTATGGCAAGACAGTACTACTCTACCATTTTAATAAAGGTTATTGCCACCACTTATATTATAGCTGGCCCACAAGGTAAAATGGGTACAGTGAGAGTCAGAAATAAACAGTTCACATATTATCTTTAGGACAAATATTTGGGTCAGGTGTTTTATAAATTTTGTGATAGTAGAGCATGAGACTGCTAATATTACCAATATTACAATTATAAAGTATTACTACTACTACTAATAATAATCCTTACATTTGGTACAGCACCTTTTACATTGGGAGCATGCCCCAAAGAGCTTCACAGAATATACTATAAAGTGTAGTGATTGTGTTCTGTGGGCGAATGGGTACTACAATATCACTGGTAGTAGCTTTATTATTGTAATATTATTCCCATAAAGCTGAAATAATTAAAAAGAGAATTTAATAAACTTACACATGAAACACTTCATTTCTGTTTGCTTTTCCACTTCCTCTCTTTCCAATCCTCTTGCTATTTTTATGAAGTTATTCATAACTTGCATCACAATGTAGTCATCATTTCTAACCTTTCCCTTCCCTTTAATAACTGGAATTTTCACTTTTTTTTCTTTGCCTGGCTACCACCACCCATTTTTCGCTACACATTTCTTGGAAAAATCCTTTTAAGTTTTCAAAACAGGTAATAGTTTGAGATGTTTACACTATATTTGCTTTTTGCGTAGTACCACCTCAATTGCACATTTACTCTTATGTCAAGGTTTGTCAATGTGCCTAAAAAATATGGCATTAAAGGCAGATATGTTCAGTCATTCAGAATTCTAGATATTCAATATTAACAACTTTCTATCATCCGCGTGATCAGGTCATTTTCTGGTACAATTTAAAATTGAAAATAAAACAGAAAATACAGCTAAATAATAATAATCCTTGTGTTTGATATAGCACCTGATCACGTCTTCGAGAAAACTCAAAGTGCTTTAGGGAATACACTGTGAAGTGAATTGACTGTATATTTTGTGGACAAAACGCGGCAGCCAATTGCGCACAGCAGTGTCCCACAAACAGTCATGAATTAAGTGACCAATTATTTTTTTTTAAGGAATCATCACCCCCGGAAAGGCAATCCGAATATCGACTTACAACCGGGTTCCTACTTACTGCTAGATAAGCAAAAAGATGTAGAGTAAGGAAACTTGCCCAACATTTTGCCCTGCCAGGAATCAAACCCAGGTCTCTCGCTTGAGAGGTGAGTGCTCTAACCACTGAGCTGTAGGACTCCATAAACGGGACTAAAGAAATATACCAATCAATGACCCAACAGCAGCTCAAAATTAATTTGTACAAACCTAGAATTGTTTGAATTAAATGACTCGTAGATAGCATCTGTGTATATAAGAAATCACATCTGCTTTTCTGATTTCTCCCTCTTCCATCCACAAATATTGACCGAAAACCTGTAAGTTACACAACCATAACCTATTTTGTATGACTTATACCAATTAGAGACATTTCTATCCCAGAAATTCAGAAAGAATTCTTGTCAATCCTCAATCCTGTTCAAGCCCACATATCAGCTGAGTGACAATGGCATTTTTGTACATTTCCACTTTAACTGTTACAGAGGCAATTAAACATTCAACTTCTTAGATGAAAATACAACCTAAGAACAAAACTTCATAAATAACTATTTTTNCTGGGAAATAATCACATTGGAGTAATATGGAAATACTTCAGCAAGCTGGACCATTATCAACATTAAACTTTCTAAAGATATGGACATTAAACTTAATAACCAAATGAAAATTAACTTATTAACAAGTACACAGCCTCACGCAGGGTTAGGGTTAGGGTCAGCAATCCTTAAAACAAAGTCAATAACGGCTTGAAATATGCTAGCAACAACAATTCCTGGACCCCATGTGAACTCAACTCACCTCCTCCCGCAGGCGCAGCCCAGGACCTATACTCCGCTTCCACTGACCGCTTGCTTATCTGACAAAGTCCAGCCTAAGTATATCTGACATATGCTATGTCCTGACATGGACATTGATGTTCAAGACCATGCTGGGAGGAGAGGCCACTTCAGTCTGGAATTCAAGTGCAGGAAAGGTGAGTTTGTGAGTGGTCCAAAGACAAGTTGAGGGAGAATGAGTCATTGTGTTCACTGATCGTTGATCATTGTGACCAACCACCCACCATGAGCATGCCTCAACAGCAGACATTTCTGACTCTCGCTTCTGCATATTGGTACAGCCTATATTTGAGTGCAAAATAAATCCCATGGACATGAGGTGAAGCTGAGATCCATGAGAATGTCCAAGAGGAGAGGGGATTAGGAGAGCTGGAGCCTTGTGTGGAGGTTAAACACCAGCACAGACTAGCTGGGACGAATATAAAAGAGAGAAGGAAAGAGTGACACAGTGAGAGGGAAGTGGGAGAACACAGGTTGGAAGAAGTGTGAGCAAGTGTGGCCCACTCCTTCACCCTTACTGCTCAGTTTTCGCATCGCCTCTGTGAAGCACTACAGCATGTGAAGGATGCTATATAAATCCAAGTTGTTGTTCTTCAGACGGTAAGGAACAAATGAGCGTGACAGACAGTGTTGAAAAGACAGAGGAAAAGACTGACAGGAAGATTAATAAGACATAGTGACACATATAAGAACTGAATAAAACACAGAAAACAAACCCCAAGGAAGACAGGAAAGCAAGTAGAGAGGGGGCAAGGACAAGAAATGAGGGATTAAAAAAGACTCATATTAGTCTCCTGAACTATCTCATATTCTCAAATATGTGGTTGATTTTTTTTTCAGTCAATAAAAACATTATCCCTAATTGATATCCTGTCACTGGAACTGGGTATGACAGAATTTTAGAAGAATTTTTGAATTGAAACAAAAGGCAGCCAAAAATAATAATTAAGTGGGTCTAACATGCTGCTAGTTCAAATGGAAATCCATAGTAAGAAAACTGGAGGGACATCAGACCGACTTGTGAGAACTCTGTTAGATACAATTTTGGTGTCAAGTGCCAGAAAAACTGGAATTCTGAATATGCTTAACACTTTTCACCTCCACCAAAGTGAATAATATATGTAACACAGATAACTTATAGAAATATTTGAAACCTCACCAGTATTTTGACATTGCTATTAATTTAGGTCATGAAAAAGGATATGATTTTCCAGTGGATGTTTAACTTGTTGTTGATCTCAATGGCTTGAGCATGGCTTCTCTCTTCTTCCAGCTGTTTTAAGTTTTCTATATGTAGCATTTCAACCATGTTGCTTGGTTCTGGTAGAGTTTCAAAGATGAATTTGTCAACTTGTATCGCCATCCTGAAACACAATAAATCAGACAAAAGTGTATGAGTCCTCATGATCATTCAAGCATCTCTCGCCTTCAAAAAGAACTTTATGCTTCACTATGCTAAGAAATATCACATATTAAACACTTATTTACACTTACTTACAGCCACGTACAGCGTAAAGTATCTTGGATCCAGGAGTTATCACCAACCTGCATTACCAGTTTCAATTTGAACCCAGCAATGACACTAATTTTTGCTGATATTCCCCCCCTCCTCTTATCCTGAAAGTAATGACTATGGGGAATTATAGCTCCATGAGCACTGACAATATCTTCCCCACAAAATACAGTCACACTATATAGTAAATCTTGTGAAGCATTTTGAATCATCTTGATGATGTGATGAGTCGCTTATATCAAATTAAAGGATGATGATTATTATATCTTGCCAAAGGGCCATTCTTTTGGGTGGATTCAAATAAGCTATTCATCCATGGAGAGAATCGCAAATTAGGCCACTCCTGCACCAACTATACATGTGCATGTGTGCATGTCACATGAGAGTAATTAGAATCATAATCCTGGCTAACTTATCACCTAGGTAGGCCAGTGATACAACAACTTGCATTTACATAGCACCCATCACACGGGGTAGTGTCCCAGAGTGCTTGATAGTGGCAGGGTCTAACACCGAGCCGGGGAAGAGGCAGGGCGGAGAGGCAGGTCTTGCTGATGAGTCAGGCTGACTGTGTTGTCATCAGCAGTGTCCTGGAGTAATGCTGACCCATCTGGTTCAGGAACTGGACTACCGAGATGGCCACAGAGGGCTGGCTCAATTCTGACATTCTATTGCCACACATGCCACTTGGAGCCAGTTTAGCTGCAAGAAAACCCCACTTACTTCCCCCCAACTCTTCTCCCACCCCTCCACCCCCCTAATGGTTTCTTACGAATAGAAGTAATAGAGGACAACCTTATTCATGAAACCATCAGGGAATAATTAGCTCCTGGGATCATTAGTGTGGAACTGGAGCTCAGGCTCAAATTATCTTGACTATGGGAAATTGATTCAAAGACCATTTATTGAGCGGATTTAAGTGCCGATTTTAGCCCATAATACCTGGATTAGTTGAGGAAGAGTGAATTCAATTCTTCAGCTCAACGTGCATAAACTGTGGCCCTCCTGATTGGCTCGCGTCAGCACCTCCGTACCTTAGGCGCTGACTGCATCAGCATCCAAGGCTGCACTCTCCACCTCTCAAAGCCAGTCAGGAACCTCGGGGTTCTGTTCGACCCTGAGTTGTCCTTTCTCCCTCATATCCGCGCCACAACTGGCACCACCTTCCATCACCTCCGGAATATCGCCAGACTACGGCACTACCTCACCCCTCACGCTGCTGAAACTCTGGTCCACGCCTTTATCACCTCAAGGCTGGATTATGGGAACGCTCTCCTCGCCGGCCTTCCCGCCACCTCCCTCCACAAGCTGCAGGTCATTCAGAACTCTGCAGCTCGTGTACTGTCCCTTCACCAGGCTTCGGGACCACATCACTCCCACCCTCGCTCGCCTCCACTGGCTCCCCATCCCCCAGAGGATTGATTTCAAGATCCTCATCCTCACCTACAAGGCCATTCACGGCCTTGCTCCCTCCTACCTCTCTGACCTACTATCCCCCTACTTACCTGCCCATACCCTCCGTTCCTCTGGCTCCGGTCTGCTCCACATCCCCCGCCCCAACCGCCCTACCATCGGTGGCCGGGCCTTCAGCCTCTCAGCCCCGAGGCTCTGGAACTCTATCCCCAGTGCCTTCGCCGCCTCCTCCCTTTCCTCCTTCAAGGCCGGTCTCAAGACCTTTCTCTTTGACCGTGCCTTCAGCTCCCCTCTCGACTCTCTACCCCCTCCTCGCTCCCTCCCTTCCCTCCCCTCACCCTGACCATTCCCCCTTGCTCGGGTCCTGACCCAACTGTACAGCGCCTTGGGACATCCTCCCGACGTGAAAGGCGCTCTATAAATGGAATCTTCTTGTTGTTGTTGTTGTAGGCATCTATATAATCTCTATAAAAACACTCAGAGGATGCTAATGTAGAGGATGACCAACTTATGACTATCCTCATGTGGGGGAGTGAGAGAGGGAGATAAGAGTCTCCTTGGAGTTGAACTGGCTCCAAGGTGACACGCTGGGCAATGGAATGTCATAACTGAGTCAACCCTCTGTGGCCGACATGGTGCAGTGACTTTGCTATAGACTAATAAGAGAGTGGAAGAGGAAGCGAGGTCATAGGGTGATGGACAGATCAGTAGGAGACTGTTGTTGCCTGACACTGTGACCAACCAGAGGGCGCATTATGGCAGACCTTGTTGTGTGGATTGGAGTTGAGTGATGCCCAATGGCGGGTGGAGTTACAATGGTTGTTGGGGGATGGCGTGTAGGCCGGAGCACTTCAGGAAGGTTCAGTAGGTGGGCGGCGGTTGGTACTTGGTTTCTGCACTGCCACAGTGACCAAAACTGTATGCAGTACTGCAGTGCAGAACACTGTACAGCCGAGGACTTCTAAGAATCTGAACTCAACTGATGTAGCCATCATCCTGCTTGTCTTGCTTTACTGCTGCTTCACACTGTTTTGACATAGTGATCAATGGGTTAACTAACACCCTCGATCTCTTTCAGTCTCCCCTTAATAGGTTCAATCCCATCCAGGCGTACTTGTGCTTCCTGTACTAGCATTCCTACATATAGTACTTTGCATTTATCTATATTAAAGGTCATTGCCAGTTATCAGCAACACTGTACAACATAATGTGTGTAATTGTGTGCAAAATGGAATCCTGTAGCTTAGTGGTTAGAGCACTCGCCTCACAAGCGAGAGGAACTGGGTTTGATTCCCAGCATAGCGAAAGGTTAGGCAAGTTTCTTACTACACATGGCTCTGTTTACCTACCAGTAAGTAGGAACCCAGTTGTTAGTCGATTGGCATATCACTTTTCCGGGGGTCATAATCTCTTCCAAAAAAATTCAAATAGTAATAATTTGGTCACTCAATCTACGACTGTTTGTGGGACACTGCTGTGCGTAATTGGATGTGGCGTTTGCCCACAAAATACACAGTCAATTCACATTACAGTATATTCTGTGAAGCACTTTCAGATGTCTCAAAGAAATGATGAGGCTAAATCAAATGCAAGGATTATTATTATTTAAGAGCTCTGAGATGCTATATAAGTGCAAGTTGTTGTTGTATTATAATTATCTAAATTATTCATTTATTCATATGAGTTAGTTTCTGACCGTTTCAATAAACAATATTCCACATAATTCCTATCATAACCTAAAACAGCTGTAAACACTATAGTTCAAATTCATTCCATGGGCATTTTAAATTCTCACCGCTACTACTCCCAATCAAAACACAGACTGAAACATTTATATACTATCAAGGGCCCAGTTGTCAACATTCTGGGTGAATGACTGTATGCATTATTTACAAAGGGTCAAAGCATCTTTCATTGTGCGTGTTACCACTTTGGAGGAGTATTTACCATTTGCTCTGCCACTTGGCAGCTTCACAGCTTTTCTTAAATACAAGGCACAATAACGTTAACAAAAATTGATTACAAAATATTCTCTAAAAATTAACTTTGTTTTGTATCTAACACATACATCTTAGTCTATCTATTAGGAAACCATAATAATGCTCAATTAAATTAATATAAAAGAAAATGAGAATCTAAAATTGACTATTTTGACCATCATAAACATGAATGTAAAATAATTTATTTGTATATTCTCTTAGCATATTGGATTGTCTGAATCCTTTTGGTGATTCGTATCAGTACTGGTAAACTGCTTTGAAAAATACTTAACCTCTATATTTGTCACTAAAATTCAAAGCTGACATCTACTCTCCTTTATAAGATTGTTTTTTGCCACCATTGATATTGTTTCAATCAGGAAGAGGACCTGGTGTGATATCACCAGGGGCTAGGTTTTATATTAGTCAGGAGACTTGGAAGAAGGCGACCACCTTCACTTGCACACACATGTAAAAACACATGAAGCTTGGAAGAGAAATGAACCCATCATAACCATGTCAATATAAAATCTGCTTCATTTTTGCTCAATCCAGCTAATTTATATTCTGTTGTAAATAAAACAATACCAAATGGTAATCCATTTATGTTCACTTTCGATTATATCACTCATAAGAACATAAGAAATGCTCGACGAAAAAGACCAAAGTCCATCTAGTTCACCTTCCAACTTCCTGGAGGTCACATGTACATACGTCCCAAACTACCTCTCAAATCTGACCCACTGAGTTTACCGCAAAAAACGCAATATAAATCAAATATTCCTTTACTGGAGAAAGCTTTCCCCTGTTAACCGCCCCCCATAAAAATAGCTAACATCCAATACTATATTGGCTGAACAAGTCACTTCCCTCACACTTAACATTAATTTCCATACTCAGACTATTTTGAATCAAATTAGCTGATCGTCATTTGATTCACTTAAGTTTAATCTTCTTTATAAGCTTCACATGCGGGAGCTAATCAAATACCTTCTGAAAATACCAAAATTTGGAGGCAGGCAGTCTCCTTTGAGCTGATCTGGTTCCAAGGTAAAAGCTTCGCAACAAATGTCATAGTCTCTATGATCCGCTTGCTGAGCCAAGCAGGTTCGCAGTACTGTCGGACACTGCTGAAGACATAGCAGCAAGCCTGGTTCATCAGCAGGACTTGGAGAGGCAGACGAGTTACTGGTGACAGGAATTGTTTCCACTTTCTACATGTGTCGAACACACAACTGATCACAAGAACACAATATCCAGCAAGTACGTTGCTGGAAAAATGCATCTAGGCATTTTAAAATGTGACAAATTACTATGAAAAGAAAGTGTTTTTCTTTCTTTTAATCATTTTTAAATATGGTAATTGAGAAGAACTTATTCTAGGTTCAAGATAAATGTCGATAAATATTAAGAAGTGTTTTCAGGCGCCATATTGGCGTAGCTATTAAATTACAAAGAA